ACTTGCCACTAGCGTCTGAACTGTGTGTGGGGGGCAGTCTTGTAGGACTGAGCCCTTAATCTGTGGAATCTGATGCTATCTCTAGGCAGATAGTGTCAGAATTAAGTTGAATTGTAGGACACCCAGCTGGTGTCAGAGAACTGCTTGTTGGTATGGGGAAACTCTCTACCCCCAAAGTTGAAATTGGATCCAGAACCCATATGATGCCAATGAATGCCATGATGGTAACAGCCAATCCCGGTTTCCTCTGCTGCTGAAGAGAGCCAATAGCTGCCTTCACCGTTCCTTTCTTGCTTGACGGGAATTGGCCAAACATGATTTTACTGTTCTTCCAACTGCCATTAGCCCTTACCAGGTCACCTGTTGTAACTCCTGTAGTAACATGCATCCCTTTGATTAAATGCAATGAATTATAAAGGAAGTTGAGATGATTACTTTTGCTTTTTTGCAAAACCAAAAGAGGAAAAGACAACTTTGTGAAGTCTTGAACGCTGTTTGTCAAACGTTATGGCACATAAAAGTAACAAGAGAACTTGTTAAAACACAGATTCTGGGTCCCACTCCTGGAGATTCTTATTCCAGAGATCTGAGTTGGGGCTTGATAATTTGCATTGCTAACCAGATCCTAGTTGATTCTGATGTCAGTTCAAGGACCACATTTTGAGGAGTGCTGGTGTTAAAGGGGATAGAATAGTCAAATATTAATATCTTGACTTAAATCTTTACCAGCCAGGCCGAAAGGAGTACACTGCTTTCAAATATCCCACAATCTAGTGAGAGAGACAGCAAGTGAAACAGATAATTACAACATATTAGGGAGAAAAGCCATTTTAGGTGTATGTACAAAGTACTGTTGAAATAAATTTCTAGGCCTAAGGTGGAGCTGCTCCTGGCTGGGGTGGCACGTCAGCAACGCGAAACTTAGATAACTTCCGTGTTCCTATAAATGCTTCACTTGACCAGAAACGCAGTCTATTCAGTTAGCCAGTCCCCAAACACCAAGCCACCTCTGGGCCTTCTCACCTCAAACAAGGTTGACCATGTGGCCCGTGCCCCAAATATTATCCATCTGTGTCTTCCTTGTTCTTTATTCTTTATCCTATAAAAGCTTCTTGCTTTCTGTCCCATTTGTCCACTTCATGATATGTTAAATAAAGTTTGTTTGTATCACCTAAATAGTCTTCTTTAATCATCTAACAGTTTTTGGCCACAAGGTACACTGTAAAACACCACAAAATCCCCTACCCAGTGGCACATCTCCTTTAGCTATGAATTTGGCTCCGAGAGACCCAAGGCTTAGCTAAAGTAATGAGATCCTCAAGTTTTAAAGAATTGAGTGCACCACCTCCCGGCACACCTGCTTATTTTATGTCTAAGAGCTGTGTTCCTAGACACTGTAGATATCTATAAAAATGGCAAAATCTTACTAAGACAACCAGTTAGACAAGATTGTTCAATTAAGAAGTGCGCTGGAAAGCAAGGGTTCCCAAATTAACAAACAGAATGGGATACCTATTTTAACTGACATACAGAAGGCTCCAAAAGTCTTCAAAATTCCAAAATAGCTTCATTGAAAGATTCACTGCAAAAGGCTAGTGAAAAATTAAAGACACAAGAGGTGCCTAAAACAAAAGACTATAAGATTGATGTGACTCCTACTGCTCCCCTCCATCCTCCTTCACCTGAGTTCTCACTAATCCTCTATCTGAATTGCCTTTCCACTCTGAAGAGGCCACAAGACCATAAACAAAAGTCCACCAAGTTAGTTACCTTACAGCTGCAACAGCTTGAAATCCAGAAACCTAAAACACCTGGGCCTCCCCCAGTGCACCCTCCTAGGGATCCATCATCAAAACACTGGCCCAGAAATCAACGTCTCATTTGCAGTCAGCTGGGACACTGGGAGAAAGATTGTCCTAGAAGATTTTGTCAAATCTTTCCATACCAACTCAAATGCCCTCATATCTGCCCTTGAAGGAGGGCTCTTCCCAGGGTTCATGGGATTCAGTCCCAAGGATTCTCCAGTAAAGTGCCACCAGTTATGCCCTTAAACAGTCAAGGGGAAACTAAAGTTAAAATTAATGGAAAACCTCGACAAATTCTGGTAGACACCAGGGCTATACACTCTCTACTATTAACCCCACTCACTCTGAAGCCTGCAGATGGGATCCTAGGAAAACTGGCAGAAGCCGAGGAAGGGTGAGAATTCTTACCGGAGTCAGCTCTCCTGGATCTCTGGCGCCCAGTGGAGAGAGGAAGGTAAAATTTCAAGTTGCCCCTTCCTTTCCAAACCCTGACCCATTGGTTGTCAATCCTTTCTCTGTCAGGGTTGCCTTTCTGTTTTTCTCATTTTGTGTTCTGTGAACTTGGCTTGGTTTTTTGCCTGTCTGCGGCAATAGGTTGTAGGTTCTTGTGTACGCAGGTAGCTCAACCATCAGGTTGGGGGTCGAAAAATACGGCCGGACAGAAATGTGGGTTGGACTCCGTTTGCGGCTTGGGTCCTACTGACTGTTGCCAGCTCTCAGGGGAATTTTCTAAGTCTTTCTTTCTTGGGTTATCTTTGGGTGTGGCTCCGGATCCTGGGAAGGTAGTATCCTTTGCATCCTCTTTGGGGATGCCTCTTGTATTCAAGGGGTTGTTTGACATTGCCAGGAGTATTTACTATTTGTCCCGGCTGAAACCTGACAAGATATTTGAAAGAATTTTTTTTTTTTTTTTTAAGTAGCTCTATGGCCAGAAAATCTTTTTGGTAACCTGAAACCTTAAAGTTATACTGAGATAGGTTAAATGATGGCTATTTATTGAATATCTAGATCATTTCCAAATAAGAGAAAATCATTTTTTAACAATACTAATGGGAAAGACTTTCCAAAGGTATATTTAAATCGAATCTAGAGGGATGATTGGTCTCTCAGCAGAGAGATGATCATTAGCAAGACGTGAAACACCACACACCTGAGGCGCAGGCGTATTTACTCACGGTTGATGGGAGGAGGGGAGGGTGATCGTGTTTGGCTAGACCCTTCAGGGCCATGTGCATGATGCTAAGGACTGAACTCTACCTTGTGGGGAACAGGAGGCATTGTCACTGGTTTTGGATGCTGTGGCAGCAGAGGCTCCATCTTCCTTCCCTTTCTACCATTTTTCTTCCATTTTGTTCTTTCGCCTTTGCTTGTTTTCAATTTTTCCAGTCCACTCATTAGGTGTTTCAGTTACCGATCCTAGAAATTATTTTTGGAATATAAGTTTTCAAAGATACTGTTTGACTTAAATATAATTCCATGTGACACCAAATACAACTGAAAAAACATGAGTGGTTGCTTCCCAAGCATTCTTCTGTCCTGGGTGGTTGCCTGGATTGCAGCTATCCCTGGCTTCCTTCCCCACCCCTTGAACCATTCTGCTGGAGTGGGGAGGGGGATCCGAACCTACCCTCACTCTGACTCACTGTGGCAGCAGTGGAGTGGCCTGGCTCTCTCTGTCCCTCCTTTTCTAGCTGCTGTAAAGGCACAGCAAAAAATAGAAATTCTCAGTGCTAGAGAGAAAATGAGCAAAGCGTTAGGAAGCTGCAAAGTGCGAGACTGCTCAGTTCTCTAATTAATGCAGACTGGTGGCAAAGCAGTGCCTTGCCCGGACTGGGCTCTGGGCAAGTGTTTGCCGCTATACACCTAGTCTGCTTTTTGGTTCAAAAACAAGGAGCAAAGGAAAAGCAATTCTCAGACAATAGAGCTTTTCAGATAATACATTTGCATGGTTCAGATCCAGAAACATCCAAGTCTGATGGCTCAGGATTTTTAAGTATCAGGCAACTGCCCCTGAACAGGTGTGACGGTGGAAGGGGCTCCAGTCCCTTCATCGAGGCAGACACCGGGTAAGGAGTCCCGCCAAGATCTGCCTTGCCCCATGTCCTGAGCCTCCTCTGGGCAGAGGCACACACCTATCTCAGCTCCTTACTGTCTTGTCAGATTGTTTGATTTTCCCTTTTTTACTTTTTTGGGGGGAGGGAGGGGCCCTTTACCTCAGGTCTCCTCCTCACTATGGAGAATTATGACCATTATAGAAAAGCTATACAGAAATGGGGTAGAAAAGTCAATAAACAAATCTGAACTAACATCTGTCATCCAGTTTTGGACCATGAAAACGATGGTTAACATCGGCAATGAACGATGGTGAAGGGAAGTCAAAGGGAACCCAGCAGTCAGTGGGTCAACACAAGTAGGATATATACGTGGCGATAGGAACTCTGTCCAATCTGTAGTTTGTAAATAATCAGTCTCAGTATTTGGCCTGTGAATGATCATGGCCAATCCCATTAACCTTCCTGTGCCTCCTTTTTCCTTGCTACAAAATGGAGTGAATCATGATGCCACTTGTGGATCATGGTAGGGTATTGGGATGGGAGTGTGGTGGGGCTTAAACGTAAAATTTACTACATAAAAATTTCAAGTGCTCAGCCCCGAGTCACCTCCTTAAGGAAGACTTCTCAGGCCCCCAGAAGAGATTAAGTTCCGCTTCCCACTTAATCACAGCACCCAAGCTTCTTCGTTGTACTGAGTACTCTTATGATGACTTGTGGATGGAATTTAGTGCCTTTGTCCCTCCAGACTGTAAGCTCACAAAAGCAGACTGCGTCTTGTTCACTGCTGAATCCTTAGAACCTTGTAGTTTGCAGAGTAGGTATTCAACAAATAATTGCTGAATGTCTGAATAACTTTCAGTATACCAGAATATTCAACGAAACAGATTCGTCCCCTTCCCAAGCCTGTTTAGAAAATGTGCTTAATCTTATAGGCCATCTAAATAATTTTGGCAATTTTTCTTCTGCAGCAAGACTAATCTACATAACTGGTTTCATCTGATTACAAATATCAATACCTTATGATGCCACTATCCTCCTTTCATTTCACTAGAACAATCTTCATTACTCTTGGGAACCTATGCTGACTGAACTACAATTTAAAATGAATAATCTTTTATTTGTAAAAGATCGAGTCATAAACAGGCAGAATCAACCCATGCTTTTATTTTCATTGCATATAAAAATTTCATATGAAGGTATTGATGTACAGTACTATCCCCATGGGCTGTAAGAGAGGCTAAGAAACCACTAAAAGAATCATTATTTGTAATGCTCACACACAATTTACCACTCTGAAAACATATCCAAAGAAATAAAAACAACTAAAATCAATAAGGATGTTTTTTGTAATTATAGTGTCTCCTTTGTACTGTTTAAAACAAAAGTAATCAAATTCCTTTGGGCCAGGGCTGCTAAAATCTACAGTTTGTGTCAAAAAAATAAAATAAAATAATAGCAGGCTCATTTTTCCTAGAAAAAGAATCTCTCTTTTCACTAAGACATGTGTTCTGAGGGCTGGGCAGCAGTGGTAGGAGTTTTCCAAGTCATTCACTGGGGACTTTCCTTAGCTTTCTGGAGCTGGCCATTGTGCAAAGTTAAATTTTAAAATTCTAAAGCAATATAAATTTTGCAGAAACAAATTCTAGAGAATGGTGAATTCTTTATGCTGTGTGAATTGGCATCATATAAAACTTTTGTGTTTAAATGCATGGATTGACATACATAAGAAAATGTGGTTATCTTAAAGAAAAATTCCAGGGTTAAAAATGACCTTTTTCATATTATATATTCTCTTAATGTGACAGAACGCTGCTGAATAAGTGACTAACCAACACGTGTGACCTATGGCCCCAATATCAAACCAAGTTCATTTGCCTATGTGCTTTACAAGTCAAAACAACTTTTATAATCACTGGACAAGAACATATTTTCCCAGGAGTGTTTGAAAGTAGAAAATAATCAAATGTAACTAAGTGAAGTAGCTCCTGAACAGATAGGGAAAATATCATGTATGCAATCCTGCTTCATGGCAAGAAGTACTTAGGAGCTTGTATCTCAAAAGGGTCTCAGAATCATCCAGAGGTTGCCTGTGGTTTTGTAAAATCCAGCTGTTGCCGGAAATCCAAATGATTCAAATCGTGGATGTAAAGTGCCCAGCCTTAGCCCCGCCATTACCTTACTTTCAAATGCAGCAAAACAGAAGAAAATATTGGTTAAAGTTAAGGCACAGCCCTGGGACCAAAGACCTGCAGCTATGTTTTTTAAATTTATATATCTTTATGTATTTAATAGTTTTCTTGAATCTTCCATAAACAAGCTCTAAGGTGACAAGACTATATTACAGGAGAAAAGAAAATGTACAAGGAGTATGTATACACACCATTCATTCTCTCACCAAGAGTTTCCAAATATATCAACACCATCCCATGGTGGGATGATGTTTTAATAAGAACTGATAATTTACAATTAACATTACAGTATGTACATTACAATAAATACATGGTTGTAAACAGACAAACAAGACTGTATTACAGGTAAGGTCATTTGGTGAGAAAAAAATGCATGGCACAAATAATAAATAATGCATTCAAAAATTATCATAAAGCTTTCTGTAAAATCCATTTCATTCAAGTTTTTTTCCTTGTCTGCAATTTGTTCTATCTACATTTTCTTGTGAATTTTAAGTGATGAAAAAGAAAGCAAAATTAAAACAGCATTACTGTGTTCAGTAACTTGCAAGCTGAAATGTACTGGTTTTACGCAAACTTGGACATTTTTTTCCCCATACAGTACCCAGATATTGCATTTTCTTATGGCATTTTAGGAAACGTAAAGCCACTTGTAAAAGGATGTTCTTTTTAAAGCAGTGTATAATCCTGAAGCACACTTGGGCGAGAGAGAAGGAGAGAGAAAGAAGGGAGAGGATAAGCAGATTGTACAGTGTATTAGTCCCCGTCTCTTGGATATTATGCATTTTCTACAATTTGATTGTCCATCAGTGGGTATTTTCATAACACGTGACCATTAAAAACCAACAAAATGAAAAAAAAAAGCCTCTCTTTTTCAGTGCAGTTATAAACCTTTTCAGGTCTGGATTTGTTTGTCACATATTGCTATTTTAATTTTTTTTTTTCATTATTAAGATTCTAGGCACTCTGTGGGGGAAACACCAAGCGTTAGGGAGGGGAGAGAATGAAAATATTTCGGAAAAAGGAATAAACCCTAGATTCTCTGCCTTTTCTTCTAGACTTCCATCAGAGACAAATAAAATTAAAACAGAAACGAGTTTCCAAGTGTTCTTTTAAAATCACTTGGCCAAACATAGGACATTATTTGAAAGATTACTGATTTTCCCAGGGGGAGGAGGGTAAAAATCAGACAATTAATTAGTTGATTGCTATTCTGCTCTGTGTAAAAGATTAGAGCTACATAATTTTCCTATCAAAGCTTCTAAGTATCAGTGGATCTCAGGGGATTGAAATAGGGACTATCTTCAGCTTGGGTCTTTTCCCCGCTGAAGACTTAGTTCTTAGTCCCCAGAAGGCTCCTTGAGACGTACCAAATATAAATGTTTTTCAGGGTTACAACTTGTCTTAACTGTTTTATTTTCCATTTGGTCAGATACTCCCTTAGTCTCTATTTCAATTCTTGAATATCAAAGTGAAAAATGATTATTTGGGCTTCAAACTCTCCACAGAGAAGGTAAAGACTTTATTAAGAGCTGAAATGGGAAGAAAGTCCAAACTAAATAAATGCCCCAAGATGCCAACTGAAGGTAAATACTGGGAATTAATCTCTAAAATTGTAACACAGTTCTTGGTGCTAAATTCAGCTGAGTGATCTCTAATTTTTTATTTAGGTAGAATCTTCTTACCCAACCCAGTATTTTAGGATGGCATTAGATGACCAAACCTCTGTGCCAGTGGCATCATCAACTTCTTTCCTTCCATGTATTTTAAGGAAGTAGTTCTCCTCTACAAGACATGCTTATGGATCAATGATAACTGATAAAGCAATTCCTACAGGTTACATGGCTGTCCATTAAGAAAGAGTAGTTGCTACACTTAAAATCACGTCTCAAGAATTTTCCTCCTATAGTCCTTAATCCCATGGTGAAACCATAGGAACAAAAGAGCATTAGTTGTACTGGTGTACATTAATATATTCTGCTAATATTGTTAAAAATTGCCTAGCTAGCCGTTAACTTTTCTCTGTAAATCAAGAGAGTAACAGCTAGTCATTATATATGGCCTCATGGCAGAAATAAATGCTAACTCTAACTGGATTGTATCTTTCATCAATCAGAATGGTGGTGATATATTTGATAGACCCCATCTAATGAACATGGACAGAGGTTCAAACACACGCTAAATAATAAAGCAGCAGAAGGGGAAAAAGTTTTTCTTACTATAACTGACTGTGAAAACAATAAAAATGAGCATGAAATGTGTGGGTTATTCACATGCACCTGTGAAATGAGGGTCTAATGACACAGCAAAAGGTTATCAGAAGACACTAAGTTGGAAAATATCTAAAAACGACGGCCCGTTTTAGCTACTGGGTATTTATATATCTCTCACTTGCTTCAGACAACACCAGCTGGTGCGTGAGTGTCCATGAGGCTTAAGACACGTTAGACGGAACGCACATCAGAGTATGACTGAACGAATACTCACTTTGCACACTGTGAAGAGAAATGTCAGTGGAGAGCAACTCTGCTTATCTAAAAAGACCCAAACAAAAAGCAAAGTCAAGGAAGACCTACAAAAAGGGCTTCCTGCAACATAAAGTTGGGTTTTGTTTTAAAATGTGGAAGTCATTCGTATATAAAACAATGAATCACTACAAATCAGTTAGTTGCTATGAACTATAAGGTGCAAGTAAATTTCGTAAATTAGATTTATCCAGTGTAGCACAGATTTGTACTGAAAACTTGCAAGTTACTCCTTAGAAAAAAATAACCAGTGGCAGATGAAGTTCTGAACATAGTTTTTTAAATATAATACCTCAATACATTTAATAATAAAAGTAAGCTCTACAAAAAAATCTGTTTTACATATCATACAAAATGTAGAGGTCAGTGAGCTCACTGAACCACACTATTCAGTCATGTATCAGGAAGACTTGAAATTAGAAAATTATGCAATTTCTGTGGCTCATCTTCCTCCTGGTAACAGATTCATGCTGTGTCCTGCTCCTGACCCATTTGTTGCTTCATCCATTAGTTCACTCTGTCTGTGTAATGCCTTCTTTCTGCTGAAAATATTGCATACAAATAAAAAGAAAAACCTCAAATCCTTATCAACTTTTCGGCTGCCTGATGAGCCACACTCTCTTGAAAACATTTTGGAGTCGATTTTCTCTGCTTCATCAGCTCTACCAAGCTGAGATCTTGTTAAAATGCTGTTCGTGAAGACGTCCCCCTTGCTCCGATGACATGGAGGTGAAAAAACTGGTTACAATATTCCTGAGCGCCGGACTGAGTAGTCAAGGTCAGTTTTGTTCAACAAACGTCCTGGCAGATGACAGTGAGGTGTGACCATGGCTGTGGCATGTGACATGCACTTTGGAAACAATTTTTCTACTTAAAAAAAAAAAAAAAGGCGTGAAAGTCTTTGCACTGTTACGTGTCAGGAGAAGGATCTTCTATTGCACAGGCTTCGGGCTGGCTTTCCTCTTCTTCCCCGACTGCCTCCTCCTCCACCTGTTCATCAAGGGGAATTTCAGTGGACTCCGAGTCTTGGGTACAGAGAGTCTTGGAGTCACTGCAGCTAGTGTCTTCTTCCACTTGACTTCCACTGTCCTTTTCAGTGTCTGACTCGCCATCTTCCTCTAAAGTTAGTTCAAACTGGAACTTCTCGGTTTGACCCTGCCGGCCCTCCTCCTGGTCATCAGGCGCTGGGGAGGGGCTCTGAGGAATTGTGCTCTGGTACCATTCACGATTGTCCTCCAAAGTGTCCAAAATGTCCTGGGCGTCAGGGTGGACGAGGTCTGCCCACGTCTCCCAGAGAGGATGGACAATATAGTCTATGAAGCCCACCTAGTTAAAAAAAAATCCGATTTCAGTACAAGATTTGGGACTAAGAAACAATGGAAAAGGTTAACTAGATCCCACAAATACATCTAATTTATATAAATATATATATGACATAATTTACATAAAAATATATAAAATATAACATAGTCTGCAAGTATAACATTGAACAGAAAACTACTAACCTTAGTTTGGTAAAATAGTCACTATTTTAGGCAACAGACCATATAAAAGTGTTGTTATTAGCTGGCGAAAATTAGCTTCTAGAAGTCTTAGTTCAAAAGTACGTTTGTGGGGCTGGCCCGGTGGCGCAAGTGGTTAAGCGCGCACGCTCCGCTGCAGCGGCCCGGGGTGTGCCAGTTCGGATCCCAAGCACGCATGAACGCACTGCTTGGCAAGCCATGCTGTGGCGGTGTCCCATATAAAGTGGAGGAAGATGGGCACGGATGTTAGCCCAGGGCCAGTCTTCCTCAGCAAAAAAGGAGGAGGATTGGCAGATGTTAGCACAGGGCTGATCTCCTCACACACACACACACACACAAAAGAGTACGTTTGTGACATCAAAAATCTCCAGTTGTTACATGGCAGGACTTGGATTGAGGCCCGGACTTTATTTTAGAATAGCCAATTTATAGGTGAATCCAGATAATTGAAACAATGCCATGTACTCTATATGAATTCATATAACTTTATTCAATTATGAATTTAGATAAGTGAAATAATTCTACATATATGAATATACAATACAAATATAGTCATAATTAATGAATATAAAAGAATATATGTATGACTATATAAATGAAAATCATTTAAGAATTAAAGGACTTTTAGCTTATAAACACTGATGTGAAACTGATTTTGTCAAAAACAAAGTAATTTTAAAAAAACAATAAAACTATGTGATGTGTATATAAAGTAATCCAATGTTCAAATGGTAGTTTTGTTCTCTCTGAAAGCTTTATGCTTACTGCCTCACCTGTGACTTTTCCACAGAGGCACTGTGTTTGTCACACATGGGACTTATCTCCATGCCCCGCTCCCTCTCTCGGTCTCCTTGGCGGAAGAACTCCTCCATTACGCGGTCTGTCCACTGGCGGTACAGCTGCAGAGGCTTTGTTGGGTTGCTCAGGTCTGCACAATGCACCATACTCTGAAGGACCTAAAATAGACGAACGCATTCTCTATTCAGCACCAGCTCTTTTTTTTTGTACTAGAAATTCACATCAGATGACTGTGACACTTGAAAATACAAGTAGTGTAAGATTCATTCCAAACAGCTCAACCATGATGTGTCTGTGTGTGGTTCACACTTATATTAATAGTCCCAAATTATGCCACTTCTATCGCATCTAAACATCATAAGAGAAACTGTCTATGTGCATGGTTGATTAAATTCAGAGCTGCTTAAGTGGTTGGTTTTGTGGGATGTTAGCAGTTTTTTTTAAAAACATATGCAAATGAAAAGGCCAATAGGATTTTACCTGGTTAATTCTCAAGATTTAGAATTTGGATAAAAATCCTGCTTATAATTACTAAAATTATAAGTTGGGAGAGAGACCTAAATCTTACCAAAGCTAGACACATAGGCGCGCGCGCACACACACACACACACACACACACACCGGAAATTCAAACAGTGCTTTACCTGAATCCTATCAGAATAATTATCAAGAAGAAGAACTCCAGAACTTGTCACTTTCTTAGTTTCAACCATCGTTTTCAAATCAGCCAGTAGATTCATGTGTTTTGACATGTCTGTTGCAAGTACCTTAAAAGACAAAAATTTTTTCATTAAGTAAAAAAGTCCAGAGGAAAAAAGTTTGAATATGCACATGAAAATATTACACAGAATGTGAGAAGAAATGGAAAACCATTATGTCATCTATTAGTAGTGCATGGAAATTCTTTACCACTTTTTGGGGCAGAATCTTTTCCCCTTTGCTGTCAAGTTTACTGGAAGCCTGTGTAAACATGTGCAATATACAGAAACATGAGGCACTGGCAACCACTCTCATGGTGAAGATAAGGGATGATATCTACACAAACAAGACATCAGCAAAAGTTTTGAAGTTTTTTCCATTCCTTGGAACAGAAAGTGGTTACTAGGCTACGATGAACTGATTCAAGGCTGCTCACAGAATACTTCAGGAACAGAATATTCTAGTTAGTTTTCTTCTTATCCAAGACAGATAATTCCTATCTTTGTAATGTACAAACTTTAACAGGGTAAGTTTTTGATAACCAGAGATATTCCTGTGTCTTGTAATCACTGGAATAATATGCATGGAGACAAGAGTGAAGTCATGGATGTTTCCAAATGGCACTGTCTTCTGACAGAGATTTTTTGAATGGAATAAATCCATTCGAGCTATGGCCAGCACCTTCTGCTTTTGTTAGACATCTTTTTCTGCTTGTCACCAGATTGGAGGAGTTAAGAAAACAAAATTGGAAGGACAGGGGTGAGCCGCCCACATTCTTAACTCCAAACTGCTAGAAGCAGAAAACCTACAGAACATCACTGCCAGCAGCAGGGGCAACTTCTTGAAAATAAAGGGCAACAATAGGTCTTGAAATATACATTTCCTTTTACTCATCTCATATATTTTTTTAAACAACTTGCATCACAGTTCTCTTTTTTGCTTTTATCCGCTACTTACGATGTCAATGACCATTTTCCTTAATGATTGTCTTTGCTTTTTGGTCAAATTCTGGAAAATGTCACAATTTTCTTCCTGAAGCAACTTAAAGCCCACGGCCAAATGATGGTTCTCCAAGACAGAAGAATCATTGTACATCAAGGCAAGTTCAGAATCTTGAAAGAAAGACGAAACGGAAGATTAGCAAAGCCGTTTATTCTACGTTGCTCTTATTTCTTCATATTCTGAGATACTTTGGGTTTAGGAAGCAACTTCCCCTAAACATCTCGGGTGGCCTTACCATTACATGACAACACCTAGGAGGGAATATACTGGTCAATGTAACAGTGGAACGAGCACGGGAAACTTGAGAGTGAATTCTAAAGCTACTGACACGCAGCAAGTCATTTCACTCTGTGGGCCTTGGCCTCCTCTCCTCTAAAGTGAAAGAGGAGTTGGAGCAGATGATCGTGAACCTCCCCTCCAGATATGCCATAGGTAGCTCCCTGAGCTCAGCAGAATATGACGTTATTCTCAATATTTGCAACATGTCCAGAGCATAAGGTGTCATGTTCCTGTTAACTGTGGACCATCTACTCTACATTATATATAATGTAAGGACCATGTGTGTGATTTAGGATTACTAAATCTATACTCAGGGTATAAGAACAGTTTGGAACACATGAACAATATTGGATTTTTTCATGCTCTTACTGATTTTCTTCCATAGTATAGCTTTGAGAGCTGAAGCTTGATTCATTTGTCCATGTCCTTTTCCAAGTACAGTGGCAGTCACCATATACATGTACATTGTCCTTCCCATCCGCATGCTCATGACTTCACACAGAGATGGGTGTTTGGCTGCTTACATAACTCCATGGTGAAGATTTTGCTGCTCACTCACGACTGCCCTGGACTTGTATATTTTAGGCAGCAAGAGATCCTGCCTCTTTTCTAGTTCTGGTAAATAGCAGACCCAGATCTATAAGGTAGTCATTAGAAAAAAAAATTGACTGGTGCTTTTTTCAAGGACTAAGTCACTGTAAAGATTAAAAGCACATGTGTTTGATCTTTTTTTCTGACTAATGGATGGAAAATTTATTTGGAAATATAAATTCTTTTCTAACAAAGAAATACCCAGTAGTACTCAATGACTATTTTAAAGGAGCTAGGAAGGAAAAGAGAGCTTCAAGACATATTTCTACTATGAAATCCTATGATTTTATCAGTACTATAGAAATAGTAATTTACACATCTAAATTTTTGCTCCCAAACTATAGGAACGGAGAGGTCTAGAGTACCAGAGAGTGAATGTGTAATGTATTACTGTCTTTTGTTTTTCTGGATAAAGCAGGAGCGTTCATTTTTAAAAAGGCAGTATCTGGTCAACTCTGACTTTTAAAAAGTCTACAAAAGCCTCTAATTATGAACATTTATCTATAGATGGTTAAACATATAGAAATAAAAATTTTTATACTATATAGGATCTTAGCATATATTGTTATTTCTAAAGTAGAATCGTATTAAATAAATGTGTATTGAAAGAAAAGCATAATGTTTTCTGATTGGAGGAATAATGCCTAATTAATTTATCAGGGTTCTTTTAAGGGAGTAAACATGCATGTAGATAAGGCACATTAATAGAAGAACTGACTCAGGCTTACAAAAACCCGGATTGGTTTATATGCCTCATGAAGAAAGATGAAAGAAATTAAGGCTATTGAGCCTGCAGAAAACAAGATGAGGAGCTGTGACTTTAAGAAAGAGGCTGATCCAAGGCATGGATGTTGTAACAAAGAGTCTGAATTCTACTAGACTTAATGATGGCCTTTCATGCAGGGGGCTGACCAAGAGCCCTAGCCAAGCCTGCCTTGAAAAGGGGTTAGCTCCTGACATTAATTAATTCAAGTACAGACTGGCCAGAAAGGACAAGAAACAATTCCCTATTGGATGGGTGGGCCTTTACTGCCTCTCCAGTCTCCGGGGCTGTTACAGGAAGGTGGTGGTGACTACTGAGTTTTAAATGAACAAATGTTAGTAATTTAAGCAACTGAATCTCAGGATAGTCATTTAACTTTCTACTCTTCTTTAGGACTAAAGGCATGTGGTCACATCTGCAGGGGGAGGTAAGATTCTGCAGCTCCTCAGTAGATTTTCCCCAAAGATACTAATCCATCCTTTCTACACAGATTCCTTGAAGGTTCAGGAATAATCAGACAGTTGCTTTCATACTTTGCTCTAAAGTACAGAAGCACAGAGGAGAAACAATAGTTTACATAATATTTCTGTTGAAACCCTCTCATCTTTAAGACCCAGTACAAGTCACCTCTCCCAGGAAGCCTTTCTTGATTACCCCAGGCAGAATTGCTCACTTTCTCCTGTAAACTCCTATATACTGTGCCACTCATTTGGCATTGATCACATTCCACCTTATTTGTCATTATCTCCGTACAAATCTTAATAGTCCCTCCCAAAGACCTCCCAACCCACTTAGAGACTTAAGACCCTATATAACATTGAAAGTCATTCATTTAATGTGCTTGGTTGTCTGGTTTCTTCTGCGCACTTCTGAACAACATATTTCTCCTTGAAACGGGGAAGGGAAGGGAAGTCGTGGTTTTAACTTAATATCCAGTGGCCAAGGACAAACGATTAAAATTTCTTGGCTCGCTCCCTCAGTTCATTCACTCTCTATGCCCTTAACCTGCGTTATTTCTCTCCCCTGAACTAGCACCATCTCACATCATACATTCACATGTCACCATCTGTCTTTTCTAGCAGAATGCAAGCTCTTCAGAGCCAGGGCACTGTCTTGTTCATCCAGGTATTTCCAGTGTGTAGAGCAATGTTTGGCACAGAAGAAGCTCTCAGTAATTTTTTGTTGAGTGAAATAACAATCTCTGTACTATTTCTACAGAGATAAAGTAAATTTGATAAAAATGAATTTATCCTGATTTTGAAAGTGTTAGAGTCATACAGAAAAATAACATTCTATACATAATCCACAAATATATCTATGGAAAGCTTATTTTAAAATGAGACCAGTGAAATAAAAAAGGTTGTGTACTGGTAGCTAGATCTGTCTCCGCCTTAATACAGTCATGTGCCAGCTAATGACGTTTCGGTCAAGGACACAGCCCGCATATTAAGATGGTGGTCCCACAAGATTAGTACCATTCAGCCTAGATGTATAATAGACTATACCACCTAGGTTTGTAAGTACACTCTATGATGTTTGTACAAAGACGAAATTACCTAACGACACATTTCTCAGCACGTATCCCCACTGTGAAGTGACGTGTGACTGTACAACGAAATGCCTCTGCTCTGGGACTCCAAAAGCCACGTGCTTTACGCATGTGACTGGTATAAGTAAATCTTTTTCCCTAAGCCTTAGGCATCTTTGCTATAAACAAAAATGACTTGTTTTCCAAGTAACATTTAATGCTATATAAACCTTGTACTTTTGAAATTGCTTTATTGTTTCAGAAAATAATGCTGTGAAGTTAAATGCTTTTTTTATAATAAACACCCTCCAGCACATCACATTCAAAACTTGATGTTGCTATTTACACTCGCAGATTTATTTACATGCATTGTCTTTGAAAGAGCCTAAAAAGAATTGTCTTCTTGCCCTCTGAAGTCCCAGACCACTACCCACCCCCAACACCTTCCTTGCCTTTAGCTACAATACTTAAGCAAGCAGCTTAGACAGAGAGAAGAGTTGCTCATTTCTGAGTTTCTCCCATGTATACATGTTATTAAACTTGGTATTATTTTCTCCTGCTAACCTGTCTTGTTGATTATTTGGCCAGTCATAAGAACCTTAAGGGAAAGGGCAGAGGGGGATTCTCCCTCTCTCCCCACAGTCCACAAGAAAGAATAACGGAGCTGGTCCTCATTTTTCTTAAAAAAGTTATCAGCGTACTCCAGTGATTTTATTATCAGTTGTTTTAATTTTTTCTCTCATCTATTCTTAATTCTAATATTATAATAAGGGCACATGCCATATTGTATATAACAGGATGCAAAGAAAACACACCAGTCTGAACTTTTGGTGTTACTAATTTAAAGAAAAAAATGCATATCTTTCTTAAAGGCAAAAATTAAAACAAAAATTTTATGTATTTGTTAAAAATCTATAAAATTAGGAACATATCAAGACATGCATAAACATCAAAATAATAAATCAGGCCAGGCTAACAAAAAGTGCCAGACTACACTGTACCATATGACCTCCTGCTCTTCTCAGAGAGGACACAGTCAACCCTAACCACTGATACAATGTAAACTCATGTTGCAGCAGCTAACGTGTATGGCTATTTATGTGTTAACAGTTACTAATGCTTTGATGTCTCCTGCAAGCACCACATTATAGGTTCTTATAAGGTAGACGGAACATGAAATGTTATCCTGTCTAATCCTGGATAAATAAGTTCATAAACCAAACTTCTAAAACGTGCTTGACTAACCACACGTTTCAGGAAATCCATGACTTTTCCAATCCTCCTATTATATATGAGTGAGTCACTAAAGTGAATCTTGTCATAGGATAGTCCAGAGGCTATTAAAAGATATAAAAATAAATCCAAATAATCCTAAATATCTGAGCTAAATCTCTCTCTCAAAGCAAAGCTATATTTAAATTCTCTCTTTAAATGTGGCTGCAGCAAAAAATGTAGGAAATGAATGGTGAATGCATAGAGACTACTAGAGCTAGATTGCTGTAGGGCATGAGAAGGCTACTGTCCACACATTCAAGGCAAAAAAAGAAAGGCAGATTCTTAATGGATACGGAAAAAAATTTAAGAACTTTGCATTTTATTTTTTTGTATATGAAAGTGAATTTAATCTACTGTGATGGGAGGAAATTAAACAATAGTTCATTTAAATCATTACCAGTTAACTTCAAGTAACAAAAGAATAGAATTTCTGTAAACTCAACCTCTATGCAAAGGCATAGCTCATGTACCACCTAAACGTTCCCTACAGCGGTTTCCTGTGCAGCTGTGTGTCAGAGACGCCCCACATTCGACAGTCTCTACCACTCTTTATATTTCCAAATGTAGCGATGACTTCTTACTAGATGAAATGTCACCAGTGAGAAAAAATTTAATGGTTAAAAATGTTAAATAAAAGCGAAATAAAAAGAGATAGTAAGTAAAAGAGAAGTTCCTATTGCCCTCAGTAGGAGATGTAAAAAGGAAAGAACAGAGCTGGGCCTGGTGGTGGAGGGGGAATGAGTAGTTATAGCCTCTGAGGAGGATTAAATGACAACCCACATGAAGTGAGGAAGGTTTCACATTAATGCTGATAACTTTTTCTTTTTTTATTTAGAACTTCAGGGGTAACACAACTATCTAAATCTTTCTGCAAACTTTCACTTTTGGATTACCCTTTGTTTACCAACACGGCAATATATTATTTCTAGAGAAGTACCGGAAGGCATGTTTTTCAAACATCATTATGTCTCACGGGGACACAACAATTTTTTAGAGCTAAATTACATTAACAGACACTCTCATTAAAATGCATATTTACACAGCTCAAAGAACATTAGGGCTCTGGAAACACCCCAACTTTATAAAGACCCTCAGTCATTCTAACACGTACAGAGGAAAATTTTTTTCTGCAAAAATAAACTTCACTTACTTGTATTGATCAGAAACTGATTTGACACACCAGGATGATCTACATCATGTATTGCACTAGCAAAAATTGCTGCAAGAATCTCCAAATCTGTAAACACAGCCTAGAAAATGAGACCATATAGATAACATTACTGTTTTATAATAATATGAATTAAAGGTATATACAAATGGGAAATTACTGCCCAGAATTTCTCATGAACCTTTTAAGTGCAATTTTAGAGAAAATATTTTATCTAATTTAATTGTAACTCATGATCAAACCTTTTCCATTGGTTATATTTTTAAAAATATTACAAAAGGAGTGTCTGAAATTCTTTTTAAAGAAAATAAGAGCTTATTTTAAAAGTATTTGCGATGTTTAAGGATATTCTGAAAATGTACATACAATTAATGACATGAACAATTATTTTCTTTTCTTTCATTCAATTTAGGGACTCTCAACCTTAGCAGAATTGACATTTGGGGCCAGATAACTCTGTTGTGGGAAGATATCCTGTGCATTGCAGGATTTTTAGCAGTATCCCTGGCCTCTACCCACGAGATGCCAGTAGCATGTACCTCCCAGTTGTGACCCAAAAAATGCCTCCACAAACTGCCAAATGTCTCTGTGAGGGTGGGGGTGGGGTAGGAGGAAAAGGGAGGAACATTCCCAGTGAGAACCACGCACTCAAATGATGAGGATTAACACAATTTTATAATGAAAACAATCTGAACTATAAAATATATTAGCAAAAGAGAATCTTTCCCCCAAACAATTAAGGAAATCAAATTGCTTTAATAAACATTTAATGGAACAACTTCTTAGGATTTGGTAAAGTTAAAGAAGTGTTTCCTTCTAATAAATTCTATGAAAAATATCAACGCATTGCTTATATTTTATAAAATAATCATCCTTTAAACTATAAATGCAAATGCCATCAGACTAAATTCCAAAAAAACTAACTAACCAAAACTGAATAAGCCAAATGTACTTTATGGAATGTCCACTAGATCATTTCAAAGAAGCAGTATCATAAACAGATGAATCCCTAAATCTTTGATCAACTTGCACAGACAAAATTCATCAAAGACTCAACCGTTTATTTAGCACAACAACATTTTTCCTATATAACATATTTCCAATGAAGCCAATTATTTTCTGCACTTCAGTATACAAATTTAAAAGACCTTTATGAGTGGCAAGTTAGTGTTCTTGAAGTTTTAGAAACCGGATTTACCTCCAAAGCAGGCGTAGATAACAGCACGTGCGTCGACTGCACAACGTCCGCGGCATGAATATTGTTGTGGTAGGCCACGTCTGCGTGGTAATGGTCTTCCAGGGTCATAAGGTACGTGATTAAAGTGTCTACTGGAATTTTAAATGTTTTTAATAAATCCCGTTCCTGTAGGAAAAGAAGTCCTCTTAACATTTGGTCCTTATATAGAAAGATTTTCCATAGAGTGTGTTAATATAAAAATCACCCCCAGTATTGCCTGTGGATAACCCAGAAATGGAAGCAGCACTCTCACAGTGTCTAGTGAGGACAATGGAAACCTTTGGGAAGATCCAGGGACCTCAGGGACAAAACCAGAGTTGAGTTGTCCTTCTGGAGCCCAGCAGTGCTTTCCTCAAGAAGTATGGTGTCAGGAATGAGCTGCCAACTATAAAAGTGTCCGTGTCCCAGGATCACAAGGGCGGCTTCAGTCCACCACCACTGACTCAGCCACTGGACGACACCAACTGAAACTCAACATTCTCCCTGGGGATGGAATCTGCCATTCCACTCCTAGGGTATCTACAGCCTCAACTCCTCATTTAAAGCCTAACCCTGAGCCGGGCAAAAGCTTAAGAGTGAGAAATCTATATGGAGAAGAGAGCAGTACTCAAAACAGTGATCGAAGAAATTACATTCTACGGTTAGTCAGCAAGGGGCTTATTCATTTTTTAAAGTTCGCACTCTATTCTCTCTGTGAGTCAGGGTCATGAGGGTGATTTTTAAACTATTATTTTAATGAATTGCTTCTATTTTTCTACATCGTATCTTTCTCTGAAATGGAAAAAAATAAAATTTGTTTATTTGTGGTTTACCCACACTCCAACCTTTCTGTATTGTTATCTGTCCCTTGGTAAAGGGGCAAATAAGAAAAAGTATCAAAATAAGCAAAAGAGGGTGAGTGATAAAGAAGACAAAATGCATGCACAATTCACAGACTGGACATTCAAGTCACCAAATAAAAGAAGGGTGATAGAACTTGACCACATTACCTGAAAAATGGTGTGCATGATAACAGTCAAAGGCCGGTTACCAGACAACTCTGCTATTCTGAAAACATGAAGACCCCATTTGTTAACATCTTCTAGTTCCTAGGGTTAAAGAAAGATAGCAAAATTTAGAATGTGGACATAGAGCACAAAACAATGAACACAGTCATTTTAAAACTACTGACCTTAATGAAAAGATTGTTAGATTAAAAAAAAAATGACATTTTAAATGTAATGGATGTACCATGTAAGTACAGGCAAACCTTAGGCAAATTCACTTATACTGAAAACTGAATAGTATTGCTAACCTTATTAGCAATACTATTAGCAATGCCTTTGACAATATAACATATTTACATACTTTCAATATCAACCTCAAAAAATTTCTTCAATAGATAAAACCTATTCACAAAAACCTTAACTATTCTCCCAAAATCCAGAAAATACACTAGATTTCTAACTCTTTAAGGTCAAATATAGACGTAAAAAAGTAAAGATACACCAAACCACTTGTCTAAATCCACATATTAGTAAAACCCAAATAATTTAGAAAGAGCTCTATAAAGTGCTTTCCCATCTTAAAAAAAAAAAAACCCACAAATTAATGAACTTGTTCATCTATTTAAAGAGAGGAAATCAAATTTCATTAAAATGCATCCCTGCATATTTATGATCAAGATCCTTGAAATCATCTTACCTTGGCAAGGACGTCTTCTTGTTCAGTTTTAACCCCAAACCTTGGGATGCTTGAATTAGTCAAACTGGAACTGTGCATCAACTTCTTGACCCCACTGATCTGAGACATTGGCCTTTTCTTTTTCTCCTTTTCCTTCTGAGTTGGAGAGGGAATTTCCACTTCATGTTGCTTATCTTTAAAAATTTAGAAAATGTTTACATTTACTATTAATTCTACCTACTTTTTTTTTTAATCATAACATGCATAACTGGACAGGTTTTAATCTATCATTATAGATTCCAGGAAATGTTTCCAAGCAAAACTCCTTTTAGAGAAGCTATGTATTTATAATTTGATGTGGACTTAATATGATACCCTCAAACACAAAATTAAGCAAATAAATCCCATTGCAAAATAATTAACAACAAATGTATTCACTGGTTACTTCTTTGATAGAATGTCCTAATAAAAATTTTTTGCAAGACTTATCATGATAGCAGACTTGGAAAAAGCAAAACACACTGGTTATTTCCACTGTTTATCAACTCCATTCCCATTTGAAATTCACTTACTGGCTTGAAAACTGCTCTTGCCAACTAAGGACTCCAGTTTCAACACCCACTTTGAAACAGTAGAAACTTCATACACAAATATCATAAAAACAGCAGTGTGAGAACCTAACAGCTTCTGAACTGGGTCATATTGTGGGAATACAAGCAGCATATCTGAATGACTGACTGTTTTTGCTATTTTCTATTGTCTATACTACAGCAAGATAAGAGTTAAGATGTAACAAGGGGAGTACAGAGAATCTCCAATATTACCTGATAAGAAAATGTCAGATTTAATTGTTGTTTTCAAATAAAAGACATAAGCTGTATCAGGACATTCATCCACTAATTCAAGGCAGTGAGCTCCTCTAACTCATCCTTGCGCGTGGTACATGTTCAATAAATCTCTATTTAGTGAATGTGCTAATTAGACATTACAGCAATTTTGTTTTGAAAGTAAATTCAAATCAAGGACATGTTCAAGTTACTGACTTTCACTTATTGCATTTTCTGTGTATGGGAAGTGGAGTGGTGTTCTTCTAGTACAGCACACTCTCAGCTATCAGCAATCTTTTCTTGAGCAACTGTATTGTATCTCCCTCACCAGTTTACAAAGTGTGGTGTCCATCAGACTATCAACTCATTGAGGGCAGGGACCATTTCTAACGTATCACTAAATACCTAGTGCTCAGCAATGGCTTGCCTTTAACAAGAATTTGTCAAGTGCATGCAAAGGTCTCTCTATAAAATGCATTTTACAGTTTGGTACTTTGGAAAAACTGGCAATATACAACTTTAATTCAGAGAATCCCTAAAGTCCCAAATGAAACTAAAAGATTAAAAAAATGCACTTTTTTTATAACCTTAGATTCTGAAGCTTAGAGGCTCAATTTATTATGATGAATGAAAACAAACGGAATTTCTAACACTTGTTTGATTTCCAAAATGAGTTGGTGCCCTAATCCACCTCCAAAAACAAACAACTCAAAAGAAAATTTTAAAATTGCATTTAAATTGTTATTCTCACCTAAGAATGTGTTTGATATATACTCTGACACTTGATTTCCAGACCGACTCATTTCAGAGAGATGGGTGAGCTCCCGATTAAGCATCCTTTTAAACTGAAAAACAGAAAGATAAAATGAAATAAGAGAAGAGGAAAATTTAAGTGAGATAACATAAGTATACCCTAAGATATAGAAAATATGCCCAAAGAACTTTTAAATTGTCCTGACAATTTAGATCAGTGCCATCCAATAGAACTTTCTGCAATGATGGAAAAATTCTATAATCTGTGCAATCCATTACAGTAGCCACTAGCCATACATGGTGGCTATTAAGCACTGGAAATGTGGCTAGTGCAAATAAGGAGCTCAATTTTGAATTTTATTTAATTTTAATTAATTTAAATTTAAATAGCCCACATGTGGCTAATGGCTATCATATTGGACAGCAGAATTAGATATTCAAGGACATTAATTAAGGAGAAAAAAGGGTGTGAAAAAATTAGGGTGCATTATTAGTATTTACAAAAGAAAAAATAGTAATTTATAGGTACACAAAAGTACTGCCACACAATAAAACACGGTATATTTTATCAATTAATTTGTCATTAGCAGAAATGAATACTGGTCAGGAGTTAAAATGCAGTCTTTTACCCCAAAGCAAAACTGAATATATTTACTTGAGTACTCTTCCAGAACTATGGAAAAATAAAATATTTGAATAGATACTGTATAACTTTTCCTTTTTAAAGTGTTTTCCAAGTTGGGAGTATAAAATTTATTGGTTCTCCGCATTCGCAGAACTTACCAATCCATTTCCCTGAGTCACATAAATACAAGACAGCTCAATTTTAAATACTCTACTTCATTACTTCATAATTTATTTTACTGATGCCATGGTGCCTGTTTTATCCAAAGAAACACTGGAATTAACCTACCACCACCACATGGCATTACCAAAATCCAGAATTCTCAAAGACGTTATGCTTTCCCATCCATCAACTGTTTCTTGATGTGTCTTCCTTTGCCTCCCAAAACAGCCCCAATAAGCCTTTTAATGCACCATCACATTTCTCTTAACATACAGATGATACATTTCTTCCATACATAAAGTAACCACTATTAGATACCTGATCAAAAAAAGTCACATTTTACTCTAATATTTAGTAGCCTTTAAAATTTTGAATTTCACCATAAATTGTCATTTAAGTCTAGGGGAAAGACAGTAGTGAATTTCTCACTTACTAACGTTTGAAATGTAATTCTAAGTATTTAATTAGGTTATTAGAATTTTTTAAAAACCTTCCTTTTTGCATAATTCATACCAAGGTGTTCTAACTCAAGATAATTTGGCAAATCACTTCCAAAGTCAATCTTATTGACCATCTAGATTAGGTATAAGAATTTATCACCACAAAGCACTGAGGGAGATCAATAATAACATCTCAATAGGCTCAATAATAACATCTCATTTCTTGTTGGATACAAGAAATGCATATTAGCACTTTCCTGCAACCAAAACTGAAGAACTGGCCCTAACCAATACAAATTCTTCTGGTTGTTAACTTACAGGTCTAGGAAGCTTACTCTCAAACTTAGGAACACAAATTTCACTTTCTTTGTTCACGTATTTTTTTCATAACTCTTCTCTGATTATAAAATGCATGTGTAATACAGAAACTCTAGAAAGCTATATGGAAAAAAATTTGAAAGCATGTATATATCCCCACTGCTCAGAGATAACTATAATAATTAGCTATATTTCCTTTATGCCTTTTTTTTTTTTACATTTGTATGTATATTTTTTAAATTGACATCATGCAGTATACAAAACATGGGTTGCTGCTTTTTTTCACTCAGCATTATATATTATGATCCACTGGGGAAAAAAAATAAAATTGGAGGCCTTCTAAGAACATTCATGAGGACATTTACAATAGTGTTCATGACATTTTCCATCCTTTTATAAAGTTATATTTTCTTAAGTAAGTTATCAACTAATTAAATGAGCTAAGAGAAAGTGTCTTGTATTTAGCCTGGCACACAGCAGGTGCTCAACAATTATTTGAGTTCTTTCTATCTCCCAGTTCCCTGGGCTTTTTATAGAGATAGCTGATTTTTATCATTGCAGAGTAAAAGATGGAAGATCTGACTATAGTTATGCCCATAAAAATACATATCCAAATATCTAGCTCCCCATCCATGCCCCAAAATAATTTAGGATATTATTCATACAGGAACTGGTCACCACGCTTCAAAAATATAATGATCATACCATGCATTAGGCCCAAAGGTAAGTAAATCCTTGTTTAACAAATGAAATTTTCTCTTGGAAAAATCTACTCTTTAGGCAAAACGAGTTCAAAAGAGAGTCTGCTAAACATTTTAAACATATATTTAATGAAATATCTCTTTGATCTAAAATTATCTGTGTTACACAAGTATATGGCAAGATCTTCCTCGTACCAGGTTGCTTACAAGTTAGAAGGTAGCTCTAGAAAAACTGGGTCCCTATCTAACTTTTCCAATTGGGTCCCCCTCCCCCCAAAGCTTGCATCATTTTTCAGTTACACTGAAAAAAACGCATGAAGGGCAAGTGGACAGTGGTTCCTGTATGGACTGCAAAGAGACTAGGAGTGGCTGATTATTTTTGCATCACATGCATATATTCCCAGACTACTCTTCTGCCTTTGTTTGAAACCCAAAAGCGTAGGGTGGAGAAACCCTTCATCACACACCCATCTCCCTACCATGGCTTGTGAGGTGTTCTAGGGAAGTCAACATTTCCTTTTAACACAATCACAAGAGACAATATTTTAAGCAGTCCTCTTTCTTCCCAAGTTTCGGGAAAGGGTGTGGGAGAGTTCCTAAAGGCAATTTTCAGAGTCAATTAAGTTACAACAAAAGGGCATTTTATAAAAGGAATTAAAATTGCTTCCCTTTTTTGCTATTGATATAAAACTTTCAGTCCAGGTAAGCTAAATTAATAACCACAAAAATTACCATCAGTGCTTTCTCAACTGGTAGTTGATCTTACAATTTGGTCTTGGGATGTACAGCTGGATGTACTAAAGAACAATAAACTACACTATTCAACACTCATTTCTAAATGTAAGTGGAATTTCTCTCATGTTAAGATAACTGCATACCATTTATTAGAATAACTATATAAAATTACCACGAGGGGGAAAACGATTAGAAAAGGTAATAAAATGCATTTTTCCTAGAACACTGTTACAGTTCTCAATTTACAGATTTAGAAGAGATAAAATATAGAACTGCTGTTCAAATGAACTAGCTGCAAAATGCAGAACAATTTAATTGAGCATTTAGATAATTTTAAAAGTAACCTCTAAATAGTTTCTGTTGATAAGTTATTCTCATTGTTTCTGGTCTAAATAGTATGAAATAATATATAGAATTATTGTTGCAACAAAGAAAAAAGGAGGAAGACTTCTAAGAGAATGCTTTCAAATCCTTTGTTCTCATTATGCATCAGAACGTCTGTCTGCAGCATTTAAAGCATAAAGGAAAGTGAAAATGCAGTTGAATTAAATGCTGTATTTTGCTTTTTAAACTCCAGTTTTCCAATTTATGTTCTACATTTAAGACTGTTGAGGAAACAAAAATAATAAAACAAAATTAAAGTATTCTTAAATTTAATCTGTGTACTTCTGCATACATGCCAGTGTGCTCCTGAGTACATTATATATCCTCCTAGTATACAATTAAGAAGGTGGTAATAGTCAAACATTAAGAAAATGCTTATCCACCTCCCCCCAACCAATATTCTGCTAAAAATCGTTTGAATATGCTGTATTGTGACCCTACAAGTTTGGTAGATACCAGCATTAAAAGCTAAAATAAATACTGCATTCGTTGTATAAAAATAAATCCTTCAAAATGCATAATAAGACTAAATATATTTATATTTGTCCTTCCTAAGCGTTTTTAGCAGTATAGTATCAAAAACACAAACAAAGTTGTCCAGACAAAATTTTCCTTAAAAAGACAAGCAGTAAAAGTCCATATTTAGATTCTTGGAGGTATTGTTCATAATCATACTACAAACGTGAAGTCCTTCAAAAACGTATCAAATATGACCTGTCTAGGAACTAAGAGATGAATTCTAGGGGAATTATGGGAGTTTCCTTTATTACTCTCTATACTTTTCTATATTTAAAATTTTTTTAAGTCAAGAAATGGCCAGCAAAATTTAAGCAATGAAAATCTGTATATTTAAAAAACAAATAAAAATATCTGGACCATCCATAGATTCAAAGGGAGGTGGCAAATCATGACTATTTGGACAAACAAAACTGAAATAAGTTTTCCTAGAATGCAAATAAATCTCACAGCAAAGAGGAAATTTCCCTTTAAAAAGAAACAAAGAAAATGAAAAATATTTCAATCTGAGAGTCCTTAAAGTAATAGAGAGGGACTCTTAAAAAAATACGTATTGTGATTGGCTCAAGCATTCAAGAATAAATTTCAATTTCTGAACTGATGCTTCATTTAGAACTGAAGAAGGTTTTTCTACCTTTTGCTTCTATGATACAGATAATTGCGAGGCTAGCATCACCACAGGGCATACAAGAAGCGTGCCGGGCAGGAAAACAATCTTATTAAATGCAGTGTATTAATTCATTTCTTGAGATTAACAAAAGTAACAATATCATTTAAGCTTATAAATATCTTCCAGCTTCACAAGTAGATAATCAAGTTTTCATTTTAATAATATATCACCTAAAAAATCAAGTAATGTTAATGTTTAATGTCATCTAGAGCTTTATATCCAAAGGTAAAGAATCATACTCCTCATCAGGTTAAAGTAGTACAGATTTTTAGAAAAAGCCACAAATTAATTTTTATAAGCTTTAAGTGATACCTACTAACTGGAACCCATACACCAGTGTAAGTAACTTAGCCCAACGATTTATTTCCAATGAATTTATTTAATTACCTTGATATTTAAAAGCACAATTCAAATCTATACCACATGACAAACAGAACCACTGCACTTTAAAAAGCCATTTTAACAGGCAAACTGCAACTAATAAAAGTTATACAATTTCGCCTTATCTTGACCACTAAAAACACATATTTCTTCTGTAGTT